TTGAGAACATCATTTTCAATTTGCATTTGTGTTTTTATTGTATTTCATCGAAGCAGATTAACTTTGAAAACTTTGAAAACACTAAAAATGCTGTTAGATACTCTTATCAAGATACTGAAGTTAACCACTGTAGTTGTTGCCAAACAACCATTAATTTGTTTTGTTTGACACGCACACACACACACACTATTGTAGCCCCAAATATCGCATGAACAATGGTCGGAGGTGTGTGATTCGTCCTTGAAAATTGAATCTAAATCTAATCCGTTTGGGATCTCATTTGTTAGGGTGTATGACCAAATGCCGGAACCAAGGTGGGTGATCTCAATGGGAAGCTGTGCAAATGGCGGAGGCTACTACCATTACTCGTATTCCGTAGTCCGAGGTTGCGACAGGATTGTTCCGGTTGACATATATGTCCCGGGCTGCCCCCCCACTGCAGAGGCACTCCTCTACGGACTTCTCCAGCTGCAGAAGAAAATCAACAGGCGCAAAGACTTCCTTCTTTGGTGGACAAAGTGACAGACACTCTGTATCTCATCTTTGTTTTCATGTCTGTGGAGAATAAATTGAAACAAATACTGAACTTTTCACTGGTATGTTGTGTTGATGTGAGGAAGAAGAAAAAAGAAAATCTCACACTTTAAGGAAGAAGAAAAAAGAACATCACTTGTTGTATTATTATTATTATATGTGGGAATATGTCTGCATATGTTTTTATGGACATGTTGAAAAACATATTTTCTCGTTAATTAAATGATGTTTATTTATATTACGGAGATGGTGGTTTGTTAATAAATGGCCTACACAAAATGCTTCATGTTATGAATGAAAATATGGTCTCATTTCATTGTTGTGCTATGTAGAATTGTATAGTATTTGAAGAGTTTGCAAGTAAAGGCATGAGAGAACATTTTTTTATTATATATACGGGGTAGAATATTTTCTTTCTATTTTACCATGTCTATATTTAGTTATCATTGCGCGTTACGAGGTTTGACTGACTTTATTTTTAATTTAATTTATTTGATTTTAAGAATAAAATTTAAAAATAAAATTTACTCTCTCTGTCCCACTGCCTTTGTCCACTTACCTTTTGGCACACCATCCAATGCACTTCTTTAATCCATTTTATCTTGTAATTTGTATATTAAAAAATTATAGAAATTACTCCGTATATATTAATAATATACTCTCTCCGTCCCCTAAGATGTTCTCATTTTGACTTTTGGTGGTTTTTAAGGAAAGTTGAAAAAAAGTGAAAGTTTACTATAATACCCTTAATGAAAATGGGTGGAGTGTATTAAATGGGGTGGTTGAGGTGTAATAAATAAAGTAAGTGAGGGTAGTTGTGGTATTTTCATGGTTAAAAAATGAAATGAGAAGATCTATTGTGGACAAAGAAAAAGGGCTATTGGAAAGATCTATGGTGGACGGAGGGGGTATATGTTAAGACAAATCAAACAAGATCACACATGACTATATTTAGGTTTACACATTGAGAGAATTTGATTAGTCAAAGTGCTTAGATGAACAATTTCAAAAGTCAAAAGTGGACAAAGACAGTGGGACGGAGTTAGTATAAGTATATGCTAAAAAAGTGCATGAAAAGTTCTACAAAACTAGAGGTAACAATACCTTTTTATTTTATGAAATGAGTAGTAAAAATAAGTAAACAAAATAAGTTAAGTTTGATCATGTGAATAATGTCTGAGAAAATTTATAGTGGACATAGGGAGTATCACAAATCAAAACACAGTATGTAAAGTACAGACGAGAAAATACTATTTTAGATTGATTTCTAGCAACCAACACTTTTTAAAAGTATTTCTTGGAGCCTTAAGGTCATTCAAATATCGCAAATCGAAACATAATATATAAAGTGTGGACGAGGAAATACTATTTAAGCTTGATTCCTAACAATAAAAACTTTTTGAAAGTATTTCTTGAATGGATTCCTCTTACTTAGTTAATATGTTAAGTATTTTCTAGGTGCACTCCTTGTCATTTATTGATTTACCAACCGAAGAAATTACCCAACAACTAACAACGAAACTCTTTAGAAATGTTTCTTAGCTGCGCTCTTCCCCGTCAGTAAATTACCATTAAGAGAAATTACACTAACAGTGAAAGGTTCAATACTTTGGGCTAGTTTGGAATAACTTTATAGATTAGCAATTTCAGTGAAAATTTCAATGGTGCAGATTTTTTTCAAAACGCTAACGCTAAACAATTACCGTAGTAAGTTTTCATACAGAGTAGTAGGGAAGGAATACTAAAATTTTCAATTAAATTTTTAAGAAAAATGCTAGGGGTACACCAAACCACAAAAAAAGGAAAGAATTTAAAAAAAATTAATTAAATAAAAATAAAATAAAATTGAATGGTGGAGAAAGTGGTGTGGGACAAATGGGGTAAACTTCTGGTGTACCTCTAGATTTGCTCAATTTTTAATGATGCATATTAACTCCAGTCAAACGGCAGCCCATGTGATAATTCGCAGGAAGCCCAATATAAGATTTTAGCCCTAGGGTTCCTTCTCAACACTATCTATATTAACCCATATTCTTCCCATCTTCTCGCAATCTTCTTCTTCCCCACCATGGATCAGAACTCGCAGCAACTCTTCTTCTTCCGTTTCCGTTTGATCTGATATTTATATTTATTAGAAATCGATTGTTTCGAGTGTTGTTTTGATATATAATTTTGAAAGATCGTCGGCTCCATCCAGAGTCAGCAGCAGCCGCCGGTCAATGGCGGATCCGTCTGCCGCTTGGAGCCCAAACGGATTTTCCGGCCGAAGACTCATGTTTTTGTTCATCTGATTTCGATTCATGACACAATAATCCGGAAACATTTGTTTTCCCTCTGATTTCTTGTGAATTTATTTAGTTGTCTCTTCCAATACAGTGAATTGAATTGGGGCACTCGAAACAGACGACGGGTGTTTGGTGAAATGATTATATTAAAAAACACCTTTTGCACGGTGCCGATAGATGGAGCTACCCATCACCACTGGAGGAATTTTGTGTTTTTTTTCTGCCATTTTTCTCCAAATTTATGGTAGCTAAATCCTGTTTAATTATTGTTAATAATTATATTTTCGAAAGTGAGATTTTAGCTTTGAAGAAATTAGTTTCTGGGTAAATTGCGGTGATGAGACTGTTAACATGTAAGAAGACCGAACTTTGTGTTCCCAGTCTTCAATGAAATTCTCTTGTTACGCTTGGCTTCTGAGCATTTTACCCAATTTATGTAGTTTTGGTTTTTTGGTTAAAAGTTTCCATATTTCTTGTAAAAATTTAGAATACTACTGTGACAAATTTCTGATTTTACATTGATTTTCTGAAAATCTATTAATTATTTCATTACTTTCAAAATTGTCCTTTTTTTTACAAGAATGCTCAATTAATCACCTCACTCAAAACAATAAAATTGTGTAATATCGAAAGGTTTTTTTCATGAAAGCATCTCATCTTTGCAAATTGTAACAAAAAAGTACTGTCTCATCTTCAATTTGTAATGAAACAGAATTCAATTTTTAAAAAATGAAACAAATAGGTACTTTTTGTCGGAATTTTAAGAATTTGATTGGTGGGGTGTATATATGACGTTAAAGAATGCATTTTAATGTTCTAATCTAACCCTATGAACTTTATAAATAATTAAGCCAGGAGAATCTAGCAATAAGGACATGGAAAATAAGCATGAAGCCTTTAGATCTAAGTCTCCAATGAAGGGGCTTTAAACTTTTATTTTTAATATTTTTAATTCAAAAAAATATTACATTCATTTAACTAAAAAAAATTAAATTAATTTTATTAATTATCTATATTGAAATAAAAATAATTCAAATAAAAATTACATTCATTTAACTAAAAAAATTAAAGTGACAATAATTAAAAAAATAAATTCATTAAATTTAAAAAAATTGAATGGACAATAATTTAAAAAATACATTAATAAAAAAATTAAAGGAAATTATATTTGACCTCGATTTCTTGTTATATTCTCGTTCTACTCTTTTTTTCGTCCGAGTAAGATGGTCATATTCTACTTTTTTTTTTTCTATTTTTCCAAAATTACCCTCCATTTCTTGCTTTTCTTTCTTTTTTTCTTTTCCCCTTCTTTTTTCTCTGTCACCCCTTTTCCCCATCTCCTCATTTTGTCCTTTTTCTTCCTTCTCTCTCATTTCTCTTCCATCTGTTCCCTCTTCCTCTCTTCAATCTCCTTTTCTTTCCTTTCTTTCTCTCTTTTTCTTCGAAAGATCTACTCCCTTTATTTTTTTTGTTGCGTCTTCTTCTCCTAAAGATCTGGGGTTGGCGGCGACACAGTAACAGATGGCGGTTGTGAGAGTTGGGGTGGTGGTGGATCTGTGGAAGTCTATGCTTAATCTTCTTCTCATCTCCCCCCTTCTGTTTTCTCTTTATTCCAGCAATGGCGATGGTGGTAGCTGAGGATGATGGTCTGATTGGTGGTGGTGGGGGTGGTGCAATGGCGGTTGGGTCTGGCAGAGATGTTGGGGCAGCGACCACTGTTGTTAGATCGGGTTGATGATGGTGTAAGGGCAGAGGTGGCGGTCAACAGTAGGGGCTGGGGCGGTGGCCAACAGTGGGGGATTGGGCGGCGGCGGCCAACAATGGTGGCTGGGTGGTAGTTCATACCTTCATGGAGCTAGTGTTGGGGTAATGGTTCTAGTGGCAAATCAAAGAAAATAAGAAGGGTATTTTAGACATTTTCATCCTAAAGTCAATACTCCTTAAAAAGTCAATGGGAACATCATTCTCGGATGGAGGGAGTATATATTTGAAACTTGATAATGTATCATGGTTAGTTTTTATTATTTCGGTCTCTTTCTTCTCTTGTTTTTTTTCACTCTTCTTTTTGAATATTGAACATTCGAAATTGTTCAACCATTGCGCGACTGATCTCGTTGTGAGAAGAAACAGAAACAGAGATGGACCTTTCATAACCTGAGATAATAAATTTTGCCTTTTTTCTTTCGATCGGCCGTGGAATGGGATCTTCGTCTTTAGAATTGTCAACGTTGAAGGGAGGTTCTTTGTTGGACATACTGATAGTGTCATCGACCTCCACCTCAGCATCGGCGGAGGATCTTTACTTTGAGGATCTAGCGTCGGAATTGTTGAGTTGTCATTTCGGTGAAGGCTTAAAATTCTCTAAAGATCGATGGGAAGCTTGTCCTGGTGCCTGTTGTCTTGATACTGGGTCGTGGCACGTCGGAGAAAATCGATGTTGTTCGTCCTGCTCCTCCGAGACCGATTGCATTTCTTATAAACTTCGACAAACTTTTAGATTTTACTGTTGATGTGGTCACATTTAGAAGTGAGTTGGTCTCGTGTATGGTAAGAGACGTCTTTGTTCATCAATGTAAAGAACTTTTCCTCGATAAGATCTTACATCGCATTCTTCGTTGGCTCCTGATGGTGTAAATTACTTGACCGGTCAAACTATACTAGACTGGGTCTAGAATAGTTTGCTTGATTTGGTAAAGTAAGAAAGGTAGAAACACGCAGATTGACCGATAGGACTTTAGGTGGAACATCTGTAGTCCAATTTACATTATAACGGAGAATACACGGGTGCTTTTACAAGGGAGTTTTGAGAGAATGAATTCGGATTCCCTTTTTTGAGGGTTACAAGAGGTATATATACTAAGCTGGGGGGGACAGAACCACGTGCGCCCACGTGGGGGCACGCAGCTGATGTGGTGCGAGGTGACTGTCGTTGAGCTGCCTTGTCATCTTGCGAGGGGGGTTGTGCCTTTGTCGTGTTCTGGTTTGGAAAAGTTCCTTTGGCATCTCCACTGATTCTCCAGTAATGCTAGTCACAACAGTTCAAGTCCTTTTGGACTCTTCCTGCCGACACCCTTCAATCTTCGAAAACTTCACCGGTTGGTTCTTAAGGGTTGATTAGCTAGCTTCGAAGGATGGATTTAGACGATAGAAAAGTTTGACCGGTATACTATTCGAAGTGTACCGATCAACCTTTTGGTCAACCATCTATCCCCTTCGCTGACGATTCAGGTCCTCTATTCAAGTTTAACCTCTTTGACCGGTCAACTATTTGGTTTCGTCCTTTGACCAGTCATGGGTGTGATACACCCATCAGCTCCAAACTTTTAAATAATATTTAGTTGAACAAATTTTTTTAAACATATATATATATATATATATATATATATATATATATATATATATATATATATATATATATATCATGAATATTTAAATAAGAACACAAATATATTAGAAAACATATATTTATAACAACGATAGGATGCTCGGAGACGTCCACTCAAAGCCGACGCCAACAAGTACTCTTCCTTCGGCGTCCACTTTTGAATTGATCGTCACGCCTCAGTCATCGGTTGAGTGCCTTTTGCTTTGTGGCTTTTCCGGCGTGTACTTTTTTTGGTGTCCGATGGTTCTGGTTGAGTCTTCGGAACTAACTCTCGCTCATAGATATGTGCTAATGGTTGCATATCAAATAACGTTGGATTACTCTCGTATATTGTTGGAAGATTCACATGGTGTGTTCGTTATGCTCGAGATCGTTGGGGGAAAAGCCGAACTCAGAAGGATTCATGTTAAAAAAGTTGAAAGAATGAAAGATGTGAAAAGATTGTGAATTTGGGATTGAAGAAAAGAGAGATGCGAAGAAGATTGAAGGATTGAGTTTTAAATTTATAAAAAAAATAATTAAAATTTTTTAAATAGAGTAACGGCTAATCTAGCCATTTGGGGAGGGGGAAAGTTGCATCAAACTTCTGACGTAAATGAATGACGTCGGCGCAAGGCCCTTAGGGGGTGGTGTTTAGCGCTCAGGCGACATTAAACGCCGCATGGCATTACAACTTATTTGACAGGCTTAGAGATTGCTTTTTAACTTATTCTCTTGCTCTAAGAGAACTACAAAAAAGACTCATTTGACGGGCTTAGAGTTTGCTTTTTAACTTATTCTTATTACTCGTAGTTATTAATCCCTTCTCTTGTAATTTATCTTTTCAATTTTTTATTTGTCTGTCTATAAATTATCTTTCAATTTCTTTTTTTGACAAATATTTTTTCTTTAAACTGCATCACTAACCCATCTTCACACATTAATTGTTATTCATACTTATATACGGAGTATTATTTTACTTTTACAATGATCAAAGGATAAATATGAAAATTTAAAGTACTTTTTACTTTACACTTTTCCTTAATTTACGTTTTTTTCATACTTATATACGGTTTTATATGATTTTTATTTCGATTTTTTTTTATTTTTCCGGTTTTTTTGGTTTATAAAAGTAGAAATTTATAAACATTAAAAAATTGTAAAAACACTAACTCGATGAAACAATAACAATATGTAGTGTTAGCTTTGGTTTTTGTTTGATTTTTACACAAAAACAAAAACCAAATGGAAGGTTATTGTTCCTTTCGGTTCAATTTTACATAAAAAAATATGTGTTGAGTACCCAACAAACATTTAGAAGATTACAAATATTTACAAAGACATTGTATGTAAAATCAATTACGAAAAATTTATGTCTTTTGGTATAATACTTTCATTTTCATTATAACATCAAAATAATTTATGTATATATGTAGATTACTCGAATCAATTTTTAATGTTAATATAATTCTATATTAGGATTAGCTAGTAATTTATTTGCATTTATATTTCTATGATTTTTCTACATATCACATATATTCATATAAATAAAGCGAAGTATCTAAAAAAGCTCGGTTTATTTGGTTTGGTTCGGTTTTTAAAAGTGAAAATCAAACCAGAACCAAACACTAACGTTTCGATTTAGTTTTTTTACATTCAGTTTCGGTTTTTTCGGTTCGATTTTTTTTCTAACTCGTTTCGATCGATTTCGGTTCGATTTGCGGTTTTTAGTTTTCCCAACACAGCCCTAATTGAAACCTCTATGAGAAAGACAAACAGGAACAAGAATGTCTTGATTTCCAAAGCTCAAGTTTTACAAATGTACTTTGAGACGTTTTTAATGAAATATTATTTATCTCATGCAAAAAGATACGAAGGAGAATTTAAGAAAAGTACAACTTTGATGTTGTTTTCACATTCTTCTCCTAATTTTTTAGTTTTTCCGTCCCAAATTAAACTTTTTATTTATTATTCAAGATAATCTATATTCCCCTTTTTATTATCAATTTTTACTTCTCATTTGATTAACAAAAAAGTAGTCA